AATGCAGAGGCCTGTGTGGCTTCCCCAAGGGACATCAAATAGTGCCCAACTGGTCCAGGTTCCTTGGGGATAGGGTCAGCAGCTGAGGAGAACTGGCACTCCCTGCCCTTCCCTGGGTGTTGGGCACAACTGCCATGGGGCTCATGGGTGTGCTTGCATAGGAACTCCACAGGGGGACCAGTGGCCACACTAAGAGAGCTGACGGGCCCACAGGCCACACTGTGTCATTCAGGTTCCTGTTAAATGCTTTTAGCAAGGGCTCCTGAGTGTAGACAGTCCAGGACTTCTCCCAGGGGAGGCAGAGGGCCTCTGCACGGTGTGAGACCTTGGAACTAGAAGTTTCTAGAAGTTTCTAGAAGTGTTTGGTTTGTTTTGCTTTGTATTTTACCAACCACTCGGATAGTTGGGTGTCACGAACCCTGCTTTATACCTGAAAACAGTAACTGAGAGAGTCACATGCCTTGTCCCTTGTGCTGAGGATTGAAGCTGGAGCTCTGCCTGTAGCTGCCCTGGAGGATGAAGGGGCAGGGGGAGGGGAGTCAGTGCAGAAAGCAGAGCCCGACCTTCACCTGCCCCCTCACCCTCAGTACCTGCTCCTGTGTGATCCCACAGGTGTCATACAGACTTGCACCTGTGCCTACCAGCAGCTGGGCCTCCCCTGATGCTGGATCCCAAGCCTCTGAGGTCTTAGCCTCTGCCAGGTCTTTGTTGTCCTTGTCAACAATCCTGTGGGGGCACTTGGGATCCTGCTTCCTCTGTTCTGTAAGATCAGCCAACCCAATTTAGGCCACCTTTCATCTTCCAAAACCAACATCTTGCAGGTTGTACCTCTTAAAAGAATGGAGCAAGTGTTTTCAACAGAGGGGCCTTTGGTCTTGGGCAGATGAAGAGAGGGAGGCCAAGGCCCCAGTGTCCCTGAAATGCTCCTTCTTCAAGCCAGCTTCTTTCTGGTGTGGCCCACGGTAGACTCAGAAGGTCCCTGAGCTCAGGTGGCTTCTGCCTGACCTGCATTATTATTTTTTCTCTTTCTCAACTTTTTTTTTTTTTAACATAAATCATTTTGAAGTGTAATGTACGTACAGAAAAGTGTATGAGTCAGAAGTGTGAAGCTCTGGTGATTTTTCGTGGGATGAATGCATGGGTGACTGGCACTGGCCCCAGCAGCCCCATCGGAGCTTCATGTACACGGGATCCTGATTAGATGTTCTTTCGTGTCTGGCTCTTTTAGCTGCATGCGATGTGGTGAGACTGGTCCTTGTGGTGGTTGACTTTGTCCAGTCTCTCTGCTGCGGGGCTCCTCTGGATGAGTACAGCACAGCTCACTTGGAGGGCAGCTGGCTGCCTCCCAGTTAGGAGCCATCGTGAACAGTGCTGCTATAAAGGCTCTTCAATGTGCCTTTGGTGTGACTATGTAAGCATTTCTAGCGGGGCTACACGCCGGGAGGGAGCCCTGGCCTGCACATGCCCAGCTTTCCCAGACACTGTCAGCTGTCTTCCCACGTGGCTCCACTCGGTCTTGCTCCTGCTGTCAGTGGCTGGGAGTTTCCATTGGGTCACAGCCTCACCGGCGCTTGGCATTTTCTGTCTTTTCATTTTAGCCATTCTGGTGGGTGTACGGTGCTGTCACACTGTGGTTTTAATTTTCCTTCCCCGATGACGAATGTAGTTGAGTGTTATTTCCTTTTTCTTACATTTATCACCATTTTGGAGATCCTTTCTTGTGAAATGCTTCCTCAAGTCTCTTGCCCATTTTTAAAAAATTGGGTCTTTTTGATTTGTATGAGTTCTTTATATATTCTGGAAATCTACATCTACATCTGCACATATATACACAGATGTACATACACACGTGCTCGTTCAACAGACCAGTGCCGGGTGCCGCCGTGCACAAATGTCACAGTCACTGGGGTACAGCAGTGAGTGAAACAGACAAAGGCTCTGAACTCACAGAGCCCAAATTCTCCCTAGAGGAGACTAACAAATAAGGAAGTAGAAAGGATGTGTGGACTGCAGTAAAGTGAGGAGAAAAGTTCAGTGGGGGAGGAGGTGCGGAAGTGGAGTTTAAACACTGTAAATACGTCACTGAGGTGGTGATGTGTCCATAAGGACCTACAGGAAGGGCGCTGCAGGCAGAGGGAGGGCGGCAGGCCTGCGGAGACTGGTGCCGAGTGAGAGAGTGGTGAGTGGAAGGTGGCAGGTCTGAGATGGGGGCAGGTCACCAGGTCACTGGGACTCTGGCTTGCATTTCACTGGGTTCTGGGCAAAGGAGGACAGGACCTGACTCAGGAGTTAGCAAGGCCCTTCGCCTTGGGCTGCTGTGCTGAGCAAGCACGCGTGGCAGCAGGGACACTGCTGAGGAACCTGTTGCAGTGGGCTCCTGTCCAGCTGTCCCATCTGTCCCAGTTGTCAGCGCTTGTGAGCACGTCCAGGGTCAGTGTCGTGCCAGACTCAGGCTGCCCTGCTCTTTGCTCTGCTGTCCTCGGAGTGTCCTCTCATGGTCCCAGGACAGACACACTGTTCTTGGCCTCGCATCCAGCCTGCATCCACAGCATCTGGGCCATCTCTTCCTGTGTGCTTTGTCTTTCCAGAAGCCCCCAGCAGAGTTCTACTGGCCACACCACACCTGGCTCATTCTCCACGTTTAAAGCCAAATCTGGCAACGTAACAAGACCCTTCTGTCAGCCCCCACCAGCCCTCCCTACAAGATCTTACTCCCTGTACCTGCCCCACCCACAGCTTCAAGCAAGGGAGCACTCCAGCAGGGGTCAGCCCTGGCATGCCCATCTCTCTGCCTCTTTGGGCACCAGGAAGGATATAAATGCAGCCCAGGTACATGAATGCTGAGGTCACACTTGGGAGCAAAGGAGAGAGTCCCCTCTGTGTCTGCAAGGACATTCCCATTGTGGGGACAATGGGCAGAGGGGCCCTCCTTCCTCTTGGGGAAGCATCTTCTTTATTGAGGCCCTTGGAGATGCTGGCGAAATCTGTGGGTGAGCACCTAGGGGAAATGGCTCTGTGACTATAAGAAGGTGCTGTGGAGCTGGTCAGCTCGGCCACCTCCTCTGGGCTGTACCATCTAGAGCAGCAGAGGAGAAGGCTTGCTCTGGGTGCAGGTGGCAGCAGGTATTTTAACTGCCCACATGGACATCCTGAGACAATACAGTGGCCACCTTAGGGCCCAGATGTCATGCAGGGCTGTGGGCTAGAGCTGAGGGCCACAGGGTGCCTGGCAGACTTCCCCAGGGCAAGAACCTAGGCCTCGCCCTCTTGGTGCTCTGGAGCCATCTGAAGGGGTGAAGTGGCCAGACAGGCCCAGGACCTAAAAGCCCAGGCTCGTGCTGGTGCTACAATCACCTGCAGAGGCCACCAGGAACTTTCTATCCTCCAGCTGGCCTGAAATGAGATGCAGAAGCAGCAGGGGGAAAGGACAGTGTGAAAGCTTGGAAGGCTGATGCGCCAATGGTCTGTGGCCCTGGCCATTGCTGCCTCGTGCTCCTCCCCGCCACCACTGACCGCCCACAGGCGCCGCACCAGGCTGTAGTTAACAGTGCAGGTGCTGGAGCAGTGAGTGCTGGGCTCCAGTCCTAGCAGAGAAAATGAGGGGGCGGTGGGCAGAGCTCCAAGAGAAAGACACCTGTTTCCAACTCTTGCATCCTTTTGGGGAAGGCGGGTGAGTGGACCCTGCACAGCCTCTAATTAAACAAGACAGAAATAAGTGTCCACGGAGACTCAGCCTGGTGGCTAATCTTGGGACTGCTAACAGAGCAGGCAAAGAAGAAGGGGTAGCTGGGAGGAGAGATGGCTCCTCACAAGGCTGCTGGGCAAAGGCTGGGCATCCAGGGACTGGTCTGGACACAGACAGGGTCACCTCTGCCCGTCTGTGCCCCCAGGGCGTGCTCATGAGCCCTGTTGGACTTATCTCAGCCTCTCTCTGAGCATCCCCTCCTCTTCCCTATAATGTGTAAGCTGAGAATGTCCCTGCTCCTCTTGAGTGGTGACTTCCCTCAGAGTCCTACCCCAGCTTGGTCTTCTAACTCAGCCTCTGGGCTCTCCAGTTCCAGATCTCCCAGGGTGGATGCTCTTTGCTCAATCCATCTTTTCCAAACACATTCTCAGAACCTGGGTTGGGGTCCACGGCAGCCACACGGTGGAGGGGGTGCCCTGTCACCTGACAGGATTTCTTCTGAGTGCTGTGGCTTCTGGGGGCGGAATGATGCCTGACTGTGCCATGTGCCGGGCCCGCCCCACACCATGTCTCAGATTAGTCCTCCCACAAAAGCAGCTGCTGTGTCCCCTGTGTTCACTCAAGGAAATGGAAGAACAGAGTTACGTGTGACACTTGAGGCCAGAGTGAGCGCCCCGTCAGGGTAAGCACTCAAGCCAAGTGGCCCTGTAGTGGATATCTACGATGAGGTGAGGTCGCAAAGGTCGAAGAGAGGCTCACAGGGAGGAGACGGGGTTCCAGCGGGACCCTCCGCGAGCGGGATCTCACCAACACCGCTCGCATCCCGCAGAGTCCGGGTCCACGGAGCACCCCTTCGCGCGGTGGCACACCCGCGCCACCAAGCACCGACGCGCTGGTGCGGCCGCCCGACTGATACCTCGGCCCGCGCCCCGAAACCCGGCGCCGGGCCCGTGCGAGCTGCCCTCGCCTCGCCCCTCGTGGTGCCCCAACCCCCGTCCCTTCCCCACCACCCTCCAAGGGGCGACCAGCCGCTCAGGCCCTCTCCGCGTCCCCGCCGCACCGAGCCGCGCCACGCCCCACTCCCGGCGCCCCCGCCCACCCGGCCCCGCCCGCCGCCCAGGTTCCGCCCCGGTTTTGCCCCGGCCAAGAGGTCGTCGGCCCCACCCAGCCCCTCAGCTTTCCCCGGGTCTAGCCCCGCCCCTGGGCCCCGCCCCGCCCCTCGGGAGGCTGCGAGCAAGAGGGCAGCGGGTATGGGGAAGCCCGCGGGCGGGGTCGGGGGGCGGGAGCTTCCCGGGCGCTCGGGGAGAGGAGCGGCCGCACGCGGGGCGCTTGCGGCGCCAGGGTACAGCGCAGGGTGTAGGCGACCAGGATGTTTCTGGAGCCCCAGGTAGGGATGCGGCACGTGGCAGGTGCGGGGCGGCGGGTCGCGAGGCGGCGACGTGGGTGTGCATGCAGGGCAACCCCTTGGTTGCAGCAAGGCCGGAGGCAGGGGGTTCTTGAGCCGCCTAGAGCTCGGGAAGAGGCGCTGACCTCCGGCAACTAGTGAGACCATCCGGAACATCTCTGGCCCGGCTCGGCTCAGAAGGAGCCTGCCTTTGGGAACCACTCCCTCTGCGTGTCCGCAGTGGGGCACCTGCTGCCAGGTGGGCGGCGCCCGGGGCTCAGCACCGGTGGGCGGCTCAGGCTGCCGCTGCCCTTTCTGGTATGGCTTGCCGATGCCAGTGATCATCTATGGCTGGGGGGTTCCTGCCAACCTAGTAGGGGCCCCTGTGGTGTGAACGGGGGCCAGGGAGGCAGGAGACAGCAGCCCCAGAAGCAAGGCAAGGAGGAGGATGGCTGCCCTGGGACTGGCAGTCAGGCTTGATAGAGCCAGGGCGACCCTGAATCCTTTCCCAGACTTGATGGGCACAGAACCACCTGTTTGCCCTGGAGGAGGTCTGTGATGAAGTGGGTACGTGGGAGGTGTGTCTGTGTGTGTGCCATGTGTGGGCGAGAGTGAGACTATGTGAAAATGCAGGCGTGTTTATATATGGGGAGTGAGAGCGGGAGAGGAGGAGGGAGAGGTGTGTATGGGGGCAGGGTTGTGCCTGTGTGGGCACACAAATGCCTGCGTATTTAAGGAGAGTGAGCTCCAGGGGCACTTCGGGAAGTGTGGGCTCCAAGGTGAGGGGCAGCTTCCTTTCTGGAGGGCTCAGGAAGGGAGACTAAGACTTAATCCTGAGCATGAGGCAGTGTGATGCATTTCTGTGGCTGTTTGTTAGAACCCACCCTTGAGATGGACTGGTGGTGTGATTCAGGTACAGATGCTGCCGCCGTTCCAAGCCCCCTTAGCATGTAGCTGACCGCATAGACCTGGGAGCTCAGTGTGGGTGGGGGCACAGAAGAGGGCCTCAGCTGAACTGGCCAGCGCCGGCTGTGCCAAAGACGCAGGGCTCATTGGTTGCTTCATTAATTCACCTATTCAGCACAAGTTTATTTTATTTTATTTTTTAAAATTATTTTTAAAATGTTTTTTATTTATTTTTGAGAGTCAGAGAGATACATCATGAGCAGGGGAGGGTCACAGAGAGAGAGATACAGAATCCGAAGACAGGCTCAGAAGACACACTCTAGCTGTCAGCACAGAGCCTGACGCTCAAACCCACAAACTGTGAGATCATGACCTGAGCCGAAGTCGGACACTTAATTGAGCCACCCAGGCGCCCAGCACACATTTATTGAACACTTGTTGTTTGCGGGTACTGTGAATTCAGCAGGGAACCAAACACACGACCGTCCCTGTCCTCATGGAGCCCACCTTCTAACCAGTGAGAATGGGGGAAAGCACCATCAATAAATACAATGTGAGGGGCACCTGGCTGGCTCGGTTGGAAGAGTGTGCAACTCTTGATCTTGGGTCATGGGTTCAAGCCCCATGTTCAGGTGGAGAGATTTCTTTTTTTTTTTTTTTTAAATTTTTTTTAAATTTTTATTTATTTCTAGGAGAGAGAGAGAGATAGACAGCATGATCAGGGGAGGGTCAGAGAGAGAGGGAGACACAGACTCTGAAACAGGCTCCAGGCTCTGAGCTGGCAGTCAGCACAGAGCCCGACATGGGGCTCGAACCCACGAACCGCGAGATCATGACCTAAGCGAAAGTCGGACGCTTACCCGACTAAGCCACCCAGGCGCCCCAGGTGGAGAGATTTCTTAAAAAAATAAATGTAGAAAAACTTAAATACAGTATGGAATGTTGCATGGTGGAAAGTGATAGAGAGAAAAAGCGAAGCAAGAAGGAGGAATAGGACATATGGCGGGTACCTCAGTCAGAATGGTTTAGGTCATCTGCAGAAACAAAACAACCCCTGAGTCCAGTGGCTTTTAACAACACAGTGCAATTTGGACCCTGTGCCACGTCTTCTTCACTCAAGGCTGCAGGCTGACAGGTTCCGTGGCAGAGGGGGAGAGAGGCTCCTGCACTCGTATTTTAATGCCCCAGCATAGAGTGCCACCTGTCCCTTCTACTTGCTGCTCTGGAGCCAGACGAGTCATGTGGCCGCACTCAGTCCCACTAGGACCAGTAGTGACAGTGCTCAGCTTGGCAGGTAGGGCCCAGTGTACTGAGCGCGACTGTGGGGGGGGCTGTTTGTACCTTGGGTATAGGACAGTTAGGGGAGGTCTCTGCATGCGTGATGTGTGCGTGAGGACCTGACAGAGGCGAATGGCGACGGGAGTGGAGGGGCACACCAGGACACCAGGCAGGGCTCTGAAGAGGCCTGTGCGTCCAGAGGCCAGACCTGAGGCTGGATGTCAGGAGCGGAGCAGGTGAGAGGGAGAGGACAGTGGGGCCAGCACAGTGGCCCAGGAGCTCAGACCAGGGTGGCGGTGGGGTGGGGGAGAGAAGGGCCGATTGGGACACACTCTGAATTAAAGCAAGAGGCCTTGCTCAGGGCTGAGATGTGGTGCTGGAGACAGAGGGAGGCAGGCTGACTCCAGGAAGGAGGGCATTGCCCTCAGGGAAAGGTGGGAAAGGATGCAGGTGGAATGGTGGGGGGTGGGCAGGAGGCAGAAACAGTGTGACATCCCCTGCGGAGATGTCACCTAGCAAGGGGGTGGGCGGGTGAGAGAGAGAGTGTGGGCAGAGGTCTGGCACGGAGTGCTAATTTGGAGCTCCAGCTCGCCCTACCCTGTGGGTCCCTTGCTGCCTCCTGGCCATACTGCCTGCACCTGTGCCCGCTGGCTCAGGACAGCCTGGCCCCGGGCCCATCCTGCCCCAGGCACCACACGGCCGTCTCGCTGGGCCTGCCTGCTAGGGCAGGGACCCTTCGTGTGAGCTTCACCAGGGGCGGCTGCAGAACCTTGTGTTGGCCTGGCTGCTGAGTGTACAGGGGTCTGGCCAAGGTGCAAGGTGTCCCTGGGGACAGCATTGCTGGCAGGCCCTGTACCTACCAAGCACGGAACCACAGTGGTGCTGTCTTCTACGGCTGGGCGGTATGGAGGGCTGCTTGGGGACGTGGACAGGGTTTCGCTCAGGAATGATGCAGCCTATGTTGGAGCTGTACCTGTGGAAGTTGCCTGCACCCTCTATACCTAGGGGCCTCCTGGACCTCACCCTCCAGGGGAGCCACTGGTGGGTGACCAGAGGAGGGCTGTGTCAGCCAACAGAGCCATTATATCTCCTTGCTCTTCCTTCTCCTAAGCTGCTGGAAAACTTCTAGTCGCCCTTGGAAGCCCATCTCAAAATCACCTCCTTCAGGAAGCCCTCCTTAACTTCTTTCTACAGAATTAGTCCCCCCACGCTTGTGCTTCCTCGGTATCCAGCACAGACCCTGGTTCTGAGTTGCTCGTACTGCACTATGGTATTAGATCTGTCTGCCCTGGAAGATGCTGAGGTCCATGGGTTCTTCCATTTCCAAGGGTGCAGCACAGGTCAGGAGGACTTCTTGGGTGTTTGTTGACTGACTAAGTGAGAGAAGGAAGGAAGGAACAAATACAGGCGTGGAAACAGCCCGCTGAGACTACTTAGTTCTGTTTCCTTGTTTTACATGTGTGGAAACTGAGGCCCAGAGGGGCCTGGCTTACCTGAGTTCAGCCTGGAGTCAGGGGCAGAACTGGCTCCCAGACCAGGATGCCTCCACTATGCTAGGTTCTGGGCTGGCTAGGTCCCTGTGGGTTCCAGAACATGGGGCATCCGTCAGGCAGACAGGTTGAGGGGCCGTGGGGTGAGCAGTCAGGTGGGAGCATATGGACAAAGGCATCGGGGTCTTGGGGTCTCAGGAGAAAGAGGGCAGCCGGGGACCTTTACTGGGGTTCTTCGCTCTCCCCCCTCCAGAGTCCTGAAGCTTCTGAGGACTCGTGGTCTCCCTGTCATAGGCAGTATTTCTCTGGTAACCCACTGCCCTGTGCCTCTGCCTCCAGTGGAATAACCCCTCCCTCCCTGGACTGCTCACACCCTCGTGCCTGGTCAGGGCGAAGCCCACGGCATTTCCCAAATGTCAGTGTGGCTGCCACACTAGCCGCCCCCTGCCTGAGGTGGGGCTGGCTGGTGTGAGTCAGAGGGCCTGGGGGTTGGCTCGTGGGTCTCCCTTAACCCTCAGGTCACTGCACCAGTGACACAAGGGGAAGCCGAGACCCCAAGGTCTAAGGCTGCAGCAGCAGCAGGAGGCAGGAGGAGCTGACATTCATCTCAGAGCCTGGCCTTCCTGTGAGCATCAGGGCCCTGAACGACATCCTTAGAAGAGGGCTGGCAGGGTCCCAGAGGAGAGTGGAAACCGGCAGCACGCAGCCCAGAGGGCACGATGGTGCAGGGTCATGGGTGTGTGGCCCGGAAAGCCGGCTGTGGGCCAGGCGGCTGACCTGGGTGAACGTTGTGTCCCTGGCCAAAGGCTGGGACACCTGCTGAGCTGGTGGGTCCCAGGCCACCTGCTCACACACACCTCCCCTCCTGCTGCCGCTGGAGTGGATGTCACAGCACCTGCTCCACATAGACTGAGTGGGGATATCTTTGGGGTTAGGGACATCTGTACCGAGGGGAGGTAGATAGGTAAGCTATTGATTTTTTAAAAGTGTATGTTAAGCAATTGGTAATGGAACTGTCTCTTATTAGTTTTAACAGATTTTCAATGTGGCTTCCTAGAAAACCTAAGAGATTGATCATATTACCTGTGCATAAGGAACATTCTGCCTCTTCATTTCTAATGTATCTTTATTTTCGTATCTTATTGTGTTTTCCGAAAGGTCCAGAGCAACATTAAATAATGGCAGTTGTCCTTGGCGTGATCTTTGTTTTAATGAGAAGGCCTCTAATGTTTTACTGAGTCTGAAATTGGCCCTAAATTTCAGTAGATATTCTTCATCATGAATGGGTATGCATTTCTTCTGCATTAATTGCCAAGAGTGTTCACCAAG